ATTGGCTCTGAAAATGACCACCAAACTAACCTCTTCCTTCATTCTCTGAAGAATCAGATCTAAATCACCTCAAAAAGAGACTCTTGAGAGGCTGGGGGGAGAGGGGATGACAACACCAACACAAATCCAAGAGGCTGAGTTTAAATTTTTGGCTGATCACGTAAGAGTTTGAAAACCACACACCAAAATCTCCGCTCCAGGGTGAAACCTGTTTCCACACTTGTAGAGCTAAATACAGGGATGAGATATATAACTGAGACAAAAAGAAAAATCAAACTTCCACAAGGAATAATCTCCGTGCAATGAACCACAGCACCACAGCCTGCACAAGTCACTTACTTTTCTCCAAGAGTCACCCAGAGGCTGCTCTGGAGTAAAGAAATTAATTGTTCACCATGCTGTGTTCAACAGATACCCATTAAAATATAGTTGGAAAACTGAGCAAATAACCCTACATGACACTTTCTGATACCAAATATACACAATTCTTTGTTTTACACAGAGGTATTTAATTTATACATAAAATAATCTCTCCAGTAAAGCTGGAAAGATTTAATGTGCTGTGCCTTAAATGCCCTTGCTCCCTTCAATAGTGATATCTCCAACCCTTGTTTGCAGTCCTGCCACAGACCAGCCAGGTGCTTCCACAGCCATCCTTGGTGGCAGCCAGTGATCCCAAAACCTCCTGTATTTGTTACCACTTGACCTCTGAACCCTGAGCAGGCACTTGACAGCTTTTTTTTTACTTTTTTTTCCTCCTGGGCTTAGTATAAAGGGAAGAAATGATGACCTGCAGCACCTTTGGAGGTGTACCCAACCTGGGATTATGGAGGACTGGGGCAACTGGGTTCCAAACAAACTGCTGACGAGTACATGAGCTAAAAGCAGCCCTGAATTTTGGACAGAAGGCCTTCCACAGAGCAAAAGTGCTTTTCACATCAGCAGCTTCGTCAAAAGAACAGTTTGAAGCCTTTCTGCACCTGAGATACATCAATGCACAGGGGAGCATAACAGAGAGAGAAAAAAAAAGGACAAGCAATGTCTTCTTTGGACAGAAAAGTAGCAGAGCACAGGAGAAGATTCACGTTCTTAGATGTGTGGCCTGCCAGGATTAACTCCACCAACTCTTCTACGCCTTCTCCCTGTTCACCAGCACTCTCTGTCTTGTCTGCAGTGGGTTGAACACAGCCAGTCACAAACCAAAATTATGTTGGCTTTATTATGCTGCACCTTAACCTCCTCTGAACAAAGGGGTTAATGCTGACCAACTTGTCTGTGCACAGTGCATTCTGTAGAACAAGACACATTCTGTGTCTTCTCTTGAGTCTGGAAAGGCTCCAGCATAGCTTTGATGCCACAGGTACAGCCAACATTAGTCTCTGTTACCAGCCCTCCTGATTTCATATGATGCCTGGCTGCCTTCAATAACAGCACTGTGTTATTTGTGTTATTTCCTTTGCTCTTTTACACGAGTCACTAAATTATTAATGACTTGGTTTCTTCAATTTGCTTAACAGCCTGGTTCATTTGGGCCCTTTTTTCTTGCAGATAATCACCGTGGGAGATCTGCTGCAATCTAATGAATATTACTGGCGGGATTACATAGGGGGAAGTGTGAGTGAAACATTTCCTACCAATCCTGCAAATAATTTCTCAGGAAATGAGCTCACTCACACTGCGGTTTAGAATGATCAAGTCATTTATCTCACAAGTCTTTAAATAATTCAAGGGAAACCAGACATTTGGAGAGCGACCGAACACATTTTTTGTGTTATCGAGATTAAATTACAGAAACATGCTGTGACTGAAAGAGCAGTAGAGATTGTGACAGTGTTCATCATATCCCAGTATATTGTGCTAACTGTGCACAGCTTGTAAGTGAGGTAGAGCTTCCCTGTGCCACTTGGGGAGCAGGAGAGGCCTGAAAAATGGGAAGCTGCTCTTCCCTGCCTAGTCTTGCTGCTAGTAACAGCCTCTTACTGTTCTACACCAGCAGGGAATTATACTCCCTGCTAATTTGGGTGGTTTGGCTGTCACTAAGCTTGCCAAATGTGGAGATTTGACAGTTAAGAGTTTCAGGTGAGGGATCCAAGGCAGACTGTGCTTCAGCTCACATCTGCATGCACGTGTGTGATGGCTGGGGCCCGGGGAACACGTGGCACACAGGGCAGTGCCAGGGATGACAGTGGCAGCCCCCCAAAGGCCTGGATCCACAGAGATCCAGCTATTGTAGCTACAACACGGAATAAATAGAAGAAGAAAGGGACAAGCTGCTCCAGGGCTGGAGAAAGCAGTGCTGACACCTGGATGCGAGCCCAGATGTTTGGGGAGTTTGAAACGTTCCCTTTTGCTCCCTCAAGAGCACAGTCTCATCCAGCTGGCTCCCAGAAAAACAAACACAGACAGGCAGTGACACTCTCAAGCTATTAATTAGTCCAACTTTCACTGAAGTTAATTTCAGAAATTAAATGTCTTTGCGTATCGTGGAGCTTTACCCTGAGTGCTCTGATGAATCAAGATCTTTTTTAGTTTTCTGACTTAAGAGGAGTTTAAGACCAGAACCTGACATTAACCTCTGTCATACACAAATAAACAACATCTGCATAGTTTACACAACACAAATAAGAGAAAACATGTCTTTTCTAGACCTAGTCCTTATGCTTCAGGTAGAAATAACTTTGAACACCATAAAATTAAAAAGAGACAGGCAAGGGCTAAGCTTGGTTTCCACACATTTTTATGTGCATATTTCTCTCTGCCCAGTGCTGCAGCACAATGTTTTACTGACAGTTTTCATTAATCAGTTCCTATTCTAGATGTAAATTAACCAGTCTCACAAACAAGATTCCTCTTTAGCACTGCAGTCTTCACGTTTTGATTTTTAGACAATTTTTCACGGGGCTATTCATTAATTAGGTCTTTAATTATGGATTAATTAGTGGCTGATTTACAATATTCCTCACACTTCCTCGACTCTTGTAGCAGTAATATGTTTGCCATCAAGCATGATAGATGTTACATATGCAAGGGGATTTATTACAGTTGTATTCCCCTAGTACTTCAGTGAGCTACTAATTATTCTTCCACTGACAGTAAAGGTAATGAAACACTGGACTGATGTCTGTGACATAAATGCATTCTTTTTTTTCTTTTTTTTTTCACTGGGTATTGCTGAAGAGAGGTCTAATTCTCTTAAGATTGAGAGAAAAACTATGTATTTGAAATGGGCATGTGTTTTAAAGCTGTTCCTTGTCAAAGGAAAAACAGTAAGCTCGAAAGTGTATTACATATTTCTTAAGGTGCTGATTGCATGAGTGTAGCTGTAGTCAGCAGGTCTAAACAATTGTCTCAGGTAGTACACAGCAGGGTCCTGGGAAATGCAGGCCATGAGCTAAGAACTGATTGGAGAGACTCTACTTACTACTCATGCACTCATGCATTTATTTAAAATAAATTTTAAAATTCATTTTAAAAATAAATTTGCACTCATTACCACTGAACAAAACATGAAGACTTTGATACACAATTGGATTGCATTAACTAAGCATAACACTACAGTTTCAGGTTTCTCAAACCTGTTCATGCCCTCCAGTTTTTTAACACAATGGCTCATTGACTTTTCTTATTTGTCTTAAGGATACTGAGCCATCCCCAGAAAGCAAGGCTACTACTACTGCTACCTTTTGTGTCCCTTCAGAGGGTCCAGTCTCTGAAGTTATCTATGTGGATGACAGCATCAAAATTTTAGGCTCCCAATTAGTCCTAATTGTGTCTAATCGAAGACCTTCAAAATTTTGATCATTTCCTTCTGCTCCAAGGGGGCAACTTTCCATACACTCATCTAAGAATCCAATCCAGCCATCTGCCTCTAGTGCAGAAGGAGAGAAAAAGCTATGTCTGACCTATAGCAGTCCTGTTTCCAGTGTTAGACACAAGATCATTAATTGCATACAGAGTGAAATGCTCACAGCCAGTTCCCAATCTGTTAAATTCTGTGATTTAAAAAGATATGGCAGTTAATTCAGATAAGCAAGAGACAGTGCTGCTTTCAGCTATTCCAGTAGCTCAAATGGTCCAAACCCCACCACAAAGTCATGAGGTGGCAGCTGTATGTTATCAGCTCTCTTCTCTCACCACATCCGTGTCTTTTCTCTTTCCCACAAAACCTTCCCATGCCTATGGATAGGAGGCACAGGTGGCATGGGTGGACAGCTGGACATCCTCCTTTGGAATAATTCTTCACCTTCACTTTCTGCCTTAGAAGAGCAAAGTGAGTGAAACTCTTTGACAGGATCTACCTCCTTGGTTAATAAACATTAACATCCAACCCTGACCCTGGAAATGGTGCTCAGTTAACTACTGTTGAGAGGAAGAGCAATGGTCAGCCCTTTTTAGCCTACAGAAAGCAACATGTCAGTGACAGCACATAAATACTTATGGTAGCAACAACAACAACAATAATGATAATATTTGACTTTAAATGATAGGCTTTGTTCACAAAAGATTCAGCAGGTTATATATTTCCTATGCCAGTTAGATTAGCTGTTAGTAGCTTACAGAAACTGAAGTTCTATTGCTTTCTTTAAATTCCACTGTAAATTTTGACAGACAGCAAAAGATAAATGGCCAACCCCTCCAACTATTTTTTTATTGAAAATCATTCTCACACCAGCATATGTCCTTGAGATGCAACAGCAAGGGTTTATTATACTGAGTCACAGAGCAAGTCTTGAAAGCTTTCCTAAATTATAAAGTTTGGGTTTGTCAGAGGCGTAAATCTACTTAGAGAAGCTGTGTATGGGGTGAATCTTAGTCTCTTTAAAGGTGTCCACCAAATATACTGCCTTGGACGAAACTCTCCATGCTCCAGTTATTTTTCCCTTATACACCAGCATGCAAAAATCCACAGCTCAGAAGCAGCAACAAAGACATGATAGCCGCTTTCCCTGCCATTTTCACACATCTGAAGAAACACAATAATCAGCAAAACTGTCACTTACCCACTACTAAAGACCACGAGTGTCCAGAGCTCCTGGGGGTGCTCTGTGGTTACTCAATTTGGGACACTGAGGTTGTTTATAGCAGTGGCACAGCTCGTGGCCAGCCAGACCTGCTTGAGCCCAGCAGCGTGACTGGCCTTCCAGATGTACTAATGTGCTATATTTGTACAGTGATAACATGATCTGTGGTCTTACAGCAGAGGCACGGGCAGGATAAAGTGTCTGCACTGCAATGACTCGACACAGGATGAGAAACAACAGCACCAGGACAGCATCTCCTTTGCTCCAAGGAAAGTGTGACAGAGCTAATGTTGCTCGTGCTTATGTATTTTCTTTGGAAAAGGGGCAAGGAGAATAAGAAAAAAGATACATCTATAGTGTGGACTCCTCTGGTACAGACTAGCTCTTCGTTCCCATGCCCATACAGTTCCAAGATAAACATGCAGACAGTCCCCATAAGTGATTGACCCAGAGAAAGAACTGTAGTGTTTCTAGTGAAGAGTTTGGGCCTGACGTTTTCAAAACTGCTTTTGATTAAATTTCCTTTTAAATTCAGCTTTTCAATTAAAATGTTATTTAACATTCTGAATTAAAAAAAAAAAAGAAACCTGGCATTTTTCAACAATTTCTGTTTATTTTTCATCACTGCCAGTAACAATAAGCATTAATTACTGCAACTGGGTTTGGCTGAAACTTCAGATGCTGGTTTTACATTGCTGCATTTTCAGTGCCTTGCTGAAATTATATTATATTGGTACCAACAGAATTGGAAAATCCGTTCAGTCATCTTATTCTTCACAAACACCAGTGATGAAAAAGGATCACCACATCCAAGTTGTCTACCAGATTTTTATCTTCTGACACAACCACTCACAAATTTGCATATTTTTGCCAAATAGCTGTCTGGGTTTCCTGCAGCAGTGAGCCTGCAAGAGCTGACAATGCAATCAGTGATGGAGACAATACTTTGGAGCAGGGAAAGTGCATCCCTTCTGTGTTCAAAATCCTGGTCCATATTTCTGCTTTCTCACACACTGCCTAGGAAAAAATGATCCTATATTTTTGTTCAGAACACAACAGCATGAAATAATACTTAATTAGCAATTATATTAAGGAACATGTGACCTCCATCTCACTTTTTCGGGATCCACTATTGTTCTTTAAATGTTCAAATACTGAGAGGTGTTTCAGTAATAGAAAGCTGACCCAGCAATTAATTCTCTGCCCCTAGCCAAGGATTCATAGATGACCTATCTCTCAAACTACAATCACAGCCTATCCATGTGAAGGAGAGATTTGGGATGTTTGCTGGGAAGGGAATGAGATAAAGAGGATCAGTTGGTGAAATAGGCATCACTTAATTAAAGCAAAAAAATAAAAGGCTGTCCTATTAAGGAGAAGGCACCAAGGATCGAAAAACAACTGAGGAAGGGCATGAAAGATTTAGAGGAGGTATAAAAAGTGACTGAAAACACAGGAAGAGAGAGAGAAAGACAGGATATATAATACTGTTTATGTGGATCTCAGTGTACTCGACCAAAAAAAAACTAAGGAAAAGGAAAATTGTAAGTCAATACCTAAGTGTGTCTCCAAAATCAGCTTAATTCAAAGAGTATCTTGCATCTATGGTTGCACAAATGCAGTCAAAGCTCAGTCCATCCCTGGAGCTGACAAGGGAGCTGCTTTACCAGCAAATAGCAGGAAAATCCAGCTGGGGTCAATGAGAACTGACTATTAGCAAACAAACCAAGGGATATTACCTTTTTCCACTTGTGCTTTAGCTGGAGCACATCTTCTCTAATTAAACAATCTCTTCTGGTGTTCCATTTTATAGAAAACTCCCAAAGCAAAAGCAACAAAGTTGCTAACAACACAATCTACAGCATAAATAATTGCCTCAGATAATCAATTGCAGTAGATATGCTTATTTTTCTGGTCTATCTTCATGGTTCATTCTACTAGGGATAATAATATGCAATTAAATTAAGGTCAATAGAAGGCTTTGGAAATTCAGACAAGTGTCTGGGTAGCACAAGCTCCTGCCAAGATCTAGCATGGGTAGAAGGTGGAAGAGCATTTAATGTAGACAAGGCACCTTCACACCAATACTTCAGACCTAAAAGACTGACAACAGAAGTGGTTCTAGCACAGCAGTCGTCAAAAAACCTACTAGAAGGAAACACATGACAATTAACAGCTTTTTAGGGATGCATTTCCTGTAAATGTACAACAAAGCAAAATCTAAGTCAGGCTGAAGGAGGATAGAGCCTGCTAGACTAATTTATTGTGTACTGAACAAAACTGTCCAGCAAAAATAAAACATTTTTGCTTTCTGCTTTGTTTTCCCATTACCCATGTGGCCTTCATCCTTGAGCTGCAGAATAACTGCAATAATGCTGCAGAATCCATAAGTCACACTGAAAATCACTTCAGCGGGGCAGATCCTTGTATCCTTGTGTCCTTTCTGATGCAATCTAAGTATGTATGCACCAAAGAAAGATCCAATTTATAACTCATGACTGCTGTGAAATGTGCCTGGAGCATTAGTATGATGAGCAAAGTCCCAGGCAAGGTTCATAATTCAGGCCTCTTGTGCAGACTCCACTCTGCCATCACACAAGTGCCTCAGTAGACTTGGCTTATGGCTCATCTGGTATTTTTTGGGTTGAGGTTGCACAGCTCTGCCGAAAACAAATCCTTCTGCTGCTGCTGTTTAGACACTTCCCTGGAGGCCTTGTTGACTTAACACATAAGTCCTCAAGAGCCAGAGCTCCCAAGAGATCTGGGAATAAGCAACTCTCAAAGAACCACAAGATACCTACATATTTGCCCCCAATATTTCATAAATGTCTTAAAAACAATTTCAACTCATTGAGACTGTTTGTCCAGAGGTAAGTTGATCTCTAGCAGATGTGCAAGGACTTTCAAAATCCTGACAGGAAGAATGTCTAAGAGCTCATGAAGGATTGTGCAGGCACTGTGAGGAAGAAATATGGCACTCAAACTCAAGAGTTCTACAAGACACCACAGACTTGGAGTAGACAAAAAGGCTGTGACTGGTTGAGTTCCTCCCAGGAGGTTGTTAACAAGGTTATAAAGGTTCCCTAGATGAAAACATGTCAGCACTTATATTAGAATTAGCATCTGATGATCAGCCCTCCACGTGAAAGATGCACACCTTTGTAAGTGGAAGCACAGCTCTACTCAACCTCAGGTTCCTCTTAGAGCTGCTTACACTTGTACCTGATTTGAACTGAATCACCTCGTTTAAGAGGCATTTTCTGAGCTAAATAATGGGCATGTTATCTATTGATCTCTCTCATTACATTTAATTGTGCCACAAATTAAAGGCATAAGACCCGCTGGTGTGAACGAGCAGCAATGAGACGTGTGTTCCGTTTGATTGACCAGGGATTGCTGAGAGCAGGAGGCTTTTTGGCAGGAGCCAGGCTCAGCAGACAGCCTCATTAGATGTGTCATTAAGGGGAGCCAACCATAGCCATCCCTCCACCCTGACCAAGCCAGTGAAGCAGCACGAGCTCTTCCCAGGGGTGCATATCTTCATCAGGGTGTAACAAGGCACTACCCAGGGACAAAACTCGTGGTTTCCCAAGGACAATTAAATCTCGAAGAAGGAGGGGGGACACAGGGAAACGCAGTTCCCTTTACAGCCACCTTTGCCTACTTGGAGCTCAGGGGCAAACAGACCACTGGGCTGTCAAATGCAACACTCTGCCCACTCACCTGTTGGTGTAACAGGTCTGAGAGGACGAGGCAGCTCTTCTATGCTGTGAAACCACAGCACGGATCACCAGGGATTTATGGCTTGTGCCCCGTTACACTCTGCTGTGGGGCACTAAAGTAAACAAAGAAATGTTCCCACTCTGAGCCAGCTGTGACAGGAGGCTGAACATGAGCCAGAGTGTGCCCAGGTGGCCAAGAAGGCCAGAGGATCCTGGCCTGGATCAGGAACAGTGTGGCCAACAGGGCCAGGGAAGTGATTCTTGCCCTGGACTCAGCGCTGGTGAGGCCACCCCTGGAGTGCTGTGTCCAGCTCTGGGTCCCTCAGTTCAGGAAGGACATTGAGGGGCTGGAGCAGGTCCAGAGGAGAGCAACGAGGCTGGGGAAGGGACTGGAGCACAAGTGGTGTGAGGAGAGGCTGAGGGAGCTGGGGCTGTTCAGCCTGGAGAAGAGGAGGCTCAGGGGAGACCTCCTCACTCTCTGCAACTCCCTGACAGGAGGGGGGAGCCAGGGGGGGGTTGGTCTCTTTTCCCAGGCAACTCTCAGCAAGACAAGAGGGCTCAGGGTCTTCAGCTGTGCCAGGGGAGGTTTAGGTTGGAGATTAGAAAGAATTTCTTTCCAGAGAGGGTGCTCAGCCATTGGAATGGGCTGCCCAGGGAAGTGGTGGATTCTCCATCCCTGGAGGTTTTTAAGGTGAGACTGGATGTGGCATCAGTGCCATGGGCTGGGAACCACAGCGGGGTTGGATCAAGGGTTGGACTTGATGATCTCAGAGATCCCTTCCAACCCAGCTGATTCTGTGATTCTATGAAGCCCACACTCTGTTGTCACCCCCCTCCTGCAGACCTGCTGCTCTACAAAACCACGGCAGAAGAGAATATTTTTTTAAGAGTGAAACAGAGTGTATCACCTACTGTCCAAATTACAGGGACAGCCACCTTCTCACGTTTGCAAGCGTTGAATCCTGGGGGTTTTCTGCCTTTGACTGCACTCCTGCAGAGAGATGAATACAAATACAGGCTTTTTCCTTTATTCCCATGTGTCACACGGAGCCTCAGAGATAAATCTGCTTTGGCAGTCTATTTTACAGAGTGCAGGTACGTGCAAGTGTATGTTACTAGAACATGTAGAGCTCTGGCATTACTGTCTCATCCCACCAGACCCACTGCAGTGCCATCCACATACAGTGCACAGGGCTCTATGTCTCTATTACCAGGCTATAGACAGTAATTTTCCTAGGTGAACAGAAAAGAGAGAGAGGAGAAGCTTTTTCTGTCTACTAATGCAGAATTGTTTTTATTTTTAACTTATGACCTGCTGCAAGTAAGCTAAAAAGTTCATCAATAAACAACAACCTTCAATATTTAA